GTCTTGACTCTGATGATGACTTCCGATGATGACTTCCGATGTTGACTTCTGAGTCTTGACTCTGATGATGACTTCCGATGATGACTTCAGAATCTTGACTCTCATGATAACTTCCGCACAGGTTTTCGAAACGTCAGTCACTATCACCGCCAACAGTCCTTCTCAGGACTACACTCACCTGGACGATCAGACTACACCTTCACATGAAAATTATATATTAGGAAAATTCATTATAAATTTTGACAAGGGAATTCTGAATTAAGTTGCATGCGAAACGGGAAGAGATGAGTGGGATATTGATTTTCAAGTGCAATTTAATGCGTAAATTCACAAATCAAGTGATGAATTTTCCTTGAATCGCATAATTAAATAAATATAAGGAAAAAAAGAAAACAACATTACTTATAGCTGTTGTGTATATGTTGTAGTTCAATTTTGTTCTTGGGTCAAATGTTATTTTCCTTTGTTTCAAACTCATTATCATACATTAACATGACCGTGAACAAAGGAAAATAAAATTTGAACCAAGGATAAAAAAAGAACTACAACATATACATTGGTGCAAAACAATATCACTAAGCCTTGCTAAACACCTTGCTTCATTAACCAATCAGAATGCAAGATTTTATTCAATGATGCAATTCAATCTAAAGGAAATCATCACCATGCAGCCAACGAAGCTCTTGATTGTCAAACAAATTATTTTGTTAGCACCTTAAGAAATGTTTAAAAAACATTAGGGAGAAAATGGATATACTGACATTATGGTGGAAAGGATTATGATCATGAAAAAGAAGGACATGATCACCAACCAAAGAAACTTGGATTGTTAAAGAAAATTCTCCAAAGGAAAAGAAAAGGAAATTGATGTAGAAGACTGGGGAGAATGTGCATGAATACTAATTTTATTGTGTAAAATGCAAAATATATTTATTTTCTTTTATATAATTACCTTTTTTTACTGCCATAAGAGTCATGTTGAATCCTTTGTAAGTACTAGTACTATCACTCTCGAACTCAATGAACATTCCATCTTTAGTTGAGTAAATCACCTCTGGGTGAACAGTATCACAGAATTTTGCAATAAGATCACTGCCAGATGAATCCCCATCCAGAAAGGTCAGGCTATCATACGGGCAGTCTCCTGATCCATCATGGTATTGCAAATCAAATTCATTGAAAGTTGCTTTTATAATAAAATCACCGAATGAAGCTGATTGTGAAACACTCACTCTCCACTTGCATTTCTCATTATTGCCATAATCCAGAGGAAAGTTTGGACTTGTAATAGTTACTTTAGACGATTCTGAAACTGTAACTCTTGTACCATACCATCCACAGGCTGTCACCGTTAAGAAAACAAACAAACAAACAAAACAAAACAAAAAAAGATCATGTAAAATTAGTTTTAAAATATGTTAATTCCAAAGATAAACACTATTATTATAGTACATTAGACTACCCATGAAAAACTGACTGGATGAGAGAATTCAATCAATATACAATACAGTGTATAATTGACATGATAAATGCAATATATGCAGTGGATATTGCATTTATCATATCAAGTTCAAAGTCTGCCTAGTTTCCAAGCCCCTTGTCCATGTAGTGTTCTCAAACTTTTGCAATTGTTTAAAATATACGTATGATGCACGATCCTCGCAGTAGTAGATATTAGTAGAGCGCTGCACTAGTATCACAGAGGTCCGTGGTTCGAGTCCTGTACAGGCCTGATTTTTTTCAGGTCTGATTTTCGCTATTGCATAAATAGTGCTATCTACTGCAAGGATCGTGCATCATATGTATCTAATACCACAGTTCAAATATATTAACTTCATATATTCATTGCATCTTGTTTAAAATATGTATAATGATTTAACTATTACTCTCTTCAAATGGCAGATAACTCAGACCTAAGTTTTGATATTTCATGATACCATGCTCAACCTTGTCTAGTAACTGCTTAATATTATACATTAGACCTACAACATGAAAACTCTGATTGGTCAAGAAAATACAGTCAGTTATATAAAACAGTGCATGGAGTTGACATAATCCAATATCTGCTCGAGTTCAAAGTCTACCTACTATCCAAGCCTATCTGTGTAGTGTTCTCAAATGTTTGCAAACTCACAGAGAAGTATCTTCTTTTTCATATTAATTAAAAAATGTATAAATTAAAAAATTGTTAGAATTGGTTTTCATATGGTGTCATGAATTATCAAAGCTTGTGTCTGTGTTATCTGCCTCAGCCTTCAGCTTTGGCAGACCTTGGCATTGATAATTAATGATATCATGCTCAACCTCATCCAATAAGTGCCTTTAATAGCAGACATGGCTAGTGGGTTGATCATTCAACCCTTTCCCTTAAACTCCCTGAAAGGATAAAAAACAACTTATAATAGCCTCCATTTGGCACTAATTAATACACTCAGATATCTGAAATTTGAATTTCTGAAAAATTGAGGACTATCATAGAGGAAATGTAAATAGATATTTTGCTGTTTTAACTGGGGCATGATTGGTCACCTGATGCTTTTAATTTAAATCACTCCTGTGTGGGAAAAAATATATAATGGATCTTATGTTTTCCGTGAG